AAATAACTTGGCATTATAAAAATTGATTTGTTATTTTACAAAATCAATCGAAAATATTTTAAATTAGTTGCTCGTTAGTTCAATGATTTTTTAAAATGTTTCAGTAATATTGTTATATTTGTAATTTATTATCATTTTCTATTGGTCTTCATTTACCTGAAAAGCTTCTGGATATTTTTCAAATAATATTCTTGCAATTTTGTTTCGTCTATATTCTTCGCTAATATTGTCCACTTTTATTACTTTTGCGTTCAAAAAATATCCTAACAGCGTTCCAATCAGAGATTTACCCACGCCTGGTGGTCCCATTAGAAAAATTCGCCCTACAGCCCTCGGCATTGGATGCATAAGATATGGCCTACATCATATTGAAATAACATCCATGTTCATATATATAAAATTAACTTATAAGTTTGTATTATTTAATTTACCTAGGATTTTTAGTAAATTTGCTAAGTGATTCTTCGCTCGATAGCATAAAGATTTGATCTAGAAACTTTACAGCAAATTTTGGTTTTCCGATAAGTGATCTGCCTTCCTTTAAGGAAACTGGACATATGGGACCCCAATCTGATGTATTCCATCTAAGAAATAAATTTATCGAAACTGTAATTGATTGGAGTATTGAAATTGATTAAAAATTGAAATGGTTAAAAAAGGATCCACCTATATAAAGGTGAAATACGTTGCATTCGTGTAAGTAATTGGAGGCATTCTTGCGGAGTTTTTCCTTCAAATATATCTTGTTCCTCCTCGTCACCTTGCTGTTCGGGTTCTTCTTCATTACCTTCACCTGATATATACCATGATTTATTTTTTTAAATTGATTTTAAGTTTCTATATGAATAAATAAATATATGATATGTAAACCAGTGAGTCGTTCGTCATTTTTATCTAGTCCTTCCTGTTTTCCCTCAGGCGGAAAGAACCTTGTCACCACAAATGCATATGGAATTCCTAGAGAAATTAGACGTGCTCGAATTGCCTCAAATATAACATTTTTATTACATCTGCCATCTAATCTTATGATGCATTGGGGATCACGTAAGAGCATTGAATCTTCTATCATGGGAAGCGCGTATTTCTATAACGATTTCCAAAAAGGATCTCATTGCCATTGATAAATAAAAAGAAAAATGTATTGCAAATTACTTTATATAAATTAATTTGTAAACGAATCGATTCAGGATCATTCCTTTGCGGAAAAATAGTGTATTTGGGTTGTTTATACGTTTCTAACGCCCCATTTGAAGGCTTCGCCGATACAGTCTCTTCAGGAGTGACAACATGTTGCACTTCGTATTGCGTTTCCTCGCCTTCATAATTTTCATCTTCAGTATTATAGGTTTGATCAAAATTCATTTCTGACGATGTACTAGAATCAGTCTCGGTTTGTTCATCTAGGGAAATAGTTGAATTTAATGCGATGACATAAAAATCAAGTACCATAAATTTTACTCACCTATCCATGTATCATTTCTAGCTTCATCACTACTAATTCTAAAATTCATATATAATAACATTAGTACGAGTGCAACGGTGGTGCAGTGATTTATACAATTACCGTTTAATTATGACATCATCATCAGGGCAAGTTATGTAAATTAAAACAGTTCTTGTGTTACTTTTGCAGAACATTAGTGCGGTGTTTAGTTGGATTATGATGTCATTTTCGGGATCTATTGCTTTTTCGGCCAAGGAATGCGTCATGCTGATGTTGCATTCACTGGCTAATCGCGTATAAAGCGTCGCGGGGTTGAAATCGGTTGCTTCAGGTATCATTTCTACAGAAGGTGGTTTCTTCATTTCTGGTGAACCTTCTCCAATTGCTTCTACGAGAAATATTTCGATTTTTAATACATATCACTACTTTTATTAAACTATTACCTTCAGCTTTGTTTGCCTTCCCAACTTTATCTTCACTACCAAGAGGTCCGTCTTCTCCTGGTTCAATCCTGGCCGATTCCTCTGCAATTTTCTTTTTCAATAACATTTCAGCTTTTTTGTGGATTGCTGAATTTATAATGCTTGTTTCCAAAAGTTCATGCAAGGTTTGTTCTACGGTAAAAACTGTTGATTCGGTTATCATAGCTTTTCCTGCATCTGATACTTCTTGTTGCGGAATCATTGGAAAACCTATGACAATTTGCAATACTAGTACTGAGAAAATAAAATTGGGAAAAATATATTTATAAAAAATACCAGCCAGTACAAAACCCAAATGGTTAACTTCAGGGCTTCTCAATCTGCATTCCAATAATTTAGTAACTACATCTGGGTGTATAGTTCTATCCAATCGAACGCTATATTCTAACAGAAGACCAAGTTTGGTATTTTTCTCAATTTCTTCTTGAACCAGAGTTTCAGGGTCTATGTAGATACATCCACGATCTTCAGCTAAACGTTTTCCTATATCATTTTGACCTGAAAAGAAAAACAGATATACTATGCAATTTTCTTTTTTGCTATTATATTCTGGAATTAGTATAGAAGACTTTTTTAATAGGATATTTAATGTGATTTCTCTGATTACAGGAGAAAATATCAAATTATTTATTATAAATATAACAAATATTTATGAAATTTATTTACATACCTATTCCAGGTTTGCCTAGAATAACATAATATGGTGGATATTGTTTTAAAAATTTATTTTGCGCTTCGATAGGATCGTATTCATCAAAGTGCAATCCCAAAGTGTCCAGAGTGACATTCGTATAAGATTCTTGGTTACTGTCCTTTTGTTCATTATTTTCAGTCAGATGATTAATTCTTTCTAATATCATTGCTGGAGTTAATTCTCCTAAAAATGAAATAAAATAAACATAATATTGAATTTCATTATATATGAAAATTTAAAATTTGTATAATTTTTTTCAATTAGATTCATTGAATGATGACACATTAAATGTCGAAACGTAAAAATAAAAACGTGAAAGTTAACCAATTTTAAATCGATAAATTGACTCCTAATTTCATAAATTACACACACACATTATATATATATATATATATATATATATATATATATATATATAACCATACTATTTTTTTTCACCTGACTCGTACATAATGACGGCCTTAGGTCTCAATGTGGGAATATCGAAAGCATGTTTTTTGATAGTTAATTTTGTTTTAGAAACTTTCAATTTGGATATCGAATTATGTTTCTGATGAAATACGATTGGGTTTTTTAGAGGCGATGCATTCTTAAGACGATATAGCCTAGCATCCAACTCTTCTAGTGTATAAATTGACTGCGCTCTTCGCAAAGACGCCGATGATCGCTTTTGGTTTTGGCCTTGCTGAATCGATTTTTCAGAAGATTGAGGTGTAACTGAAGAAATAATGAATATAATTATTATATTCTATAACAAAATATTAATTTATTTGCTTTGGAAATTTAATATAGTTAATGTTATTGTCAGACGTTATCTATAATACATATTAAACAAAATATATTGAAGTACTGTTTGCATTAACCATCGAAAATCTGTATTTTTATCCAAACATTTTTTATCTACTTCGTCCATTCTTAGAAAATATTGTACGTTTATCATTGTTAGTTTAATAGCGATTAATCTCATTGTTATATTCAATTTATTTGGGTTAGAAAAAATAATTTGGTGATGATATTGTCGGGTGTAAAGCTCAATATATATAAAACAAGATATCCTGAAACATTATCATAGTTCTCAATAATTATGTAGCTTTATCCAAGGATTGTTGATATACTTCGTCCATTCTTAGAAAAAAAATGTGAGAAAATATATTTTAGTTTTATAACGCCTTTCATGATTAATCAAGATTTTGATATATTTAACTAATTTGCTTTTTAATATATAAAAAAAAAACAAAATATATTACCGAAAATTATTTACCTTTATCCGAAGATTCTTTAGCCTACTTCGTCTATCCTAGAAAATATTATGAGTTTAATAATTAATTAATATTCGATTTATTTGCTTTATAAGAAATAAATTGGTTATGTTATTAACCGATGTATTATATAAGATCTTAAACAAAATATCTTATGGTGTTTAAGGGGGAGCCTACTTTAGAGGCTTAAAAAAAATCTTTTTTTCGCCAAAATGTCTTCGAAAACTAGTCAAGAATATATCCCTAAAATTTGATAAACAAATTCAAATTATTTTCGGAATTACAGAAGAAATAGTAAACAAGCATCAAGCATGTATACGAACAGAACGAAAACTTCGTCGCACTATTTTTTGGTTTTTAATTTTTTCGATTCTTCCTAATTGGCGGGAAAGATAGGAAAAAACTAAACGTTCTATCGCAACGAGACAAAATTCATTGTTTTTAGGATTAAATTGTATTCTAGTTGAGCCTAAAAAAACTTACAAAAAATTATAATTAACCCACTTTTTAAACAATTTAAAGTGAAATTTTGTATAAAAAAACATGATTTTTTTTTCAAGTTGCAAAAAATTGGTAAATATCTCATTTTTTCTGGATTTTTTAGGTTCAACTAGAAATCTATACTATTGAATATATATATATATATATATATATATATATATATTTGTTTTGATTTTTTTTGTTTCGGACGGAAATTGTGACCTGCATCTTTCCCGCCAAATGACACCGGCACGCTCGTGGCGCATGCTTCGTCAATTGTACCCGGCATATTATAAAATATATTTTAATAAAACATTTGAGAACAATGTTGAAATATATAACAATAAAACCTGAAAGTTTCGTTTCAATTAAACATTTATTTCGTTCCCTAAAAATTCTTCAAAAAAAGCGATTTTTTGAAGCCTCTAAAGCAGACTCACCCCTTAACTCTAAGACCGAAAGTTTTGTACCTTTATCCAAAGATTCTTTAGCTGCTTCGTCCATTCTAGAAAATATTGTATGTTTATTATATTTTTAGCTTCATAGTACTTTTTATGATTAATCAAGCTTTTGTTTTTTATATATTTCTAACATTCAATATGATTTTACAAAATATTCTCATAGCGTATTCGTTTCAGCACGTCGTGTTCCAGTTCCTGATGAGCGATACGATTATCTGTGCCAATACTTTAAACCAGCCAGGTGAATATAGAAATTATTTTACGATTAGCATGAAGTAGCATATCGTTATTAATAAATGAATTATTTTGTTTTGCAGCAAAGTACCAGCATTTTTAAACGTAGTGGACATTGCAGGTTTGGTTAAAGGCGCTTCGGAAGGACAAGGATTGGGAAATGCCTTCTTATCACACATCAGTGCATGCGATGCTATTTTCCATTTATGTAGTACGTTATCATATTCTATTCACCTACTAATTGTTAGAAATCAATTTATTACGGATCTAATAATTATGATTTATGTTGCAGGAGCTTTTGACGACGATGATGTAACGCACGTCGAAGGAGAAGTGGATCCAGTACGAGACTTATCAATTATTGCGGAAGAATTGAGGCTAAAGGATGAAGAAAATTTAATGGCAAAATTGGATAAACTGGAAAAAACAGTTGGTCGAGGAGGAGATAAAAAACTCAAACCGGAATATGTGAGTTATATTCCAAAATGGTTTTATTAAATGCCTATAATAGATTTGACAAAATTATTTTTTTTTATAATCAATATTACCTTTATTACTAACTGACTTTATATTGACTTCAATTATTTATATACCAATACTAAATTGAATTTCCCTGAATCGAGTTGGAGTTTTAACTCAGCTCAAGGACCTGCCCTAGGGCAGTACACCCATTATTAACTTCCCGTAGGGTAAGTTATAGTAATCGCAAAAAAATCGAAAATGAAAATTTTTATATATCTTTACGTTTCAAAGGTTTCTGAACATTTTGGCATACCTTTGAAAAAATGGATGTATGTGTGTGTGTGTGTGTATGTATGTATGTATGTGCGTGTGTGTATGTATGTGCGGATACAAATTTTCGTCGACGATTTCGGGAACACGAATGAAGCGATTTGGATAATTCAAAAAACATTCGATTCGTATTGATAAGGAGACGTGCTGATTAGTTTCTGGCGAAGGCAGGTCTAGCCGTTCCGAAGATACGGGGCAAAAAGTGCCGAAAACGGTAACTCAGTTTTTAAGAGAACGGAGCGTTCGATTTGAATAATTCAAAAAACATTTTACTTGTATTGACAAGATGAAGAATTGATCAAATTTTCATGAAGGCAGGTCTAGCGGTTTCGGAGATCTTACGAAAAAAGTAAAAAAAAATGCCATTTGGCGGTCAAAAATGATCATTAGACATACGCACATCAAATTATCAGATATTTTATAGAGATTTTATTAATAAGTATGAATTTTGTTTACATTCCTATGGGTTCCGTACCAATGTTTATCCGTTAGACAGCGACGCGGCGCTTACGCGCTTTATATTTTGTCTCTATGCAGTTAAAGCAGTACGATTGCTTTGAAAAATAGTTCAGATCTTCCAAAATATGTCAAAATGAAGAAAGCATTTTTTTTTCAAAAAAAAAAAAAATTTAAAAAATAATTTTTTTAAAAAAAAAATTTTTTTTTAATTGTTTTTTCAAAAAAAAGTAATTTTTTGTCCAGTTTATAGTTTCTCAAAAATCTTATTTTTTCGAAGTAATTTTTTTTCAAAAATGTTAATCGTTTTTAAAAAAATAATTTTTGGTACGGGAAGTTCTAGCAATTTGCCTTAAGGCACGATGCCTCAATTGCCTTAAGACAGAATTCCACTTACAGCTAGTTATTTTACTAAATTGAATGTATTTTTCAGGAGGCTCTACTTCGTATTAAAGCCGTATTAGTTGATGAAAAGAAACACATTAGATTTGCAGACTGGAGCGCTAATGATGCAAGTGAAATTTCTTTTAACATAATTAAGATGCGTTTCACGCACTATTGAATTTTGATGCGATTTTTTTTTTTTGCAGATTGAAATTTTGAATAAACATTTATTCTTAACGTCCAAACCTTGCATTTATTTGGTCAATCTTTCAGAGAAGGATTATATACGCAAGAAAAATAAATGGTAAATATTCATAATGTATTTTTCTAAAACAAGGATTTGATTGAATAATTACTCTATTTTATAAATAATTTTGCTCTAATAGGTTAATTAAAATCAAGGATTGGGTCGATAAAAACGACCCTGGGTCTATTATTATTCCATTTTCTGGAGTTCTAGAATATAAATTGATGGAAATGGAAGAACCTGAAAGAAAAAAGTATATGGAAGATAACAATTGTTCCAGGTATTAATTTTGTGTTTTAATACTTGCCAAATATTTTGCATTATTTCTGTATTTTCAAATCTTTTGATTCAATATAATTTCAGCATTTTAGAAAAAATAATAGTTCAAGGCTACAAAGCCTTGCAATTGGAATACTTTTTCACATCAGGAGCTGATGAAGTAAAAGCCTGGACCATTCAAGTAATAAATATATAATTTTTTTTTAATTACATTTTAATATTGGTAAATTATTATTAAACAATTGCAGAAAGGTACCAAAGCACCGCAAGCTGCTGGTCGCATTCACACTGATTTTGAAAAAGGTTTTATAATGGCAGAAGTAATGCATTTTAAAGATTTCAAAGAAGAAGGTAGTGAGGCAGCATGCAAAGCAGCAGGAAAATATAGACAACAGGGTCGGAATTACACAGTGGAGGATGGCGATATAATTTTCTTTAAATTCAATGCTGGGGCTGGTTTGCAAGCAAAGAAGAAATGATTTATTTTTGTAATTATGGTGTCTTGCACTTACTCTGGTTTATGTGAGACTCTATTACTGATCATGTTGAGTGTTTATGTATCTTTAAACTTTGAATGTAACTCTTCTGCAAAAAATATATTTCTTGCTTCATGACAATACATATTGCAACTTCTTATAAAATTTAGTAATTTCTTATATAACTTAATATAAACAATTTGATTTCAGAAAGTTTCATATTCTTCTTGATTAAAATTTGATCAGCATTTTTATTATACAAACATTTCTTAACTCGAGATTCAAGATTATTATTCATACATTGTCAATTCTCCTTAAAATTATTTTAAGTGAAGCAGAACCTTCTTTAATAAAAAATTCGACAAAAATAATTGTAAAAGCCATATATTTCAAAAATAATCATATTTTTACAAAATACAAATCTCACATAAAATTAATTGAATAAGTTATAATTAGATAACTACCTCCAGCTGGAAAATGATGAAGACCTGAAAATTGAGTTATTTGAATGCTTGGTTTATGTTATTACATTTTATTAAAAAATAATCAAAATCATCTTTATTACCCAGAAAATGATGCAGGTTTATTTGTTTGCTGTGGAGAACCTTGTGCTAAATTTCCAAAAGATATAACATTGCTAGATGCTAAATTCTCAAAAGTAGTTGACTGATGTGTCGGTGAACTGAAAGCTAAATAATATATTAGTTAAATATCAATGGTAATAATTCTCAGAGTTTATTATATTTCAGTCTCCAGATGGGATTTTGATTTATCTAATAGGTAATTTTTCTCACCAGATGTTTGCGCTACAGGGTTAGAAAATGCATTTGTTGGGCTACCAAAAGCAGGTGCAGAACCAAAAACTGGTGCTGCTCCAAAACTAGGCGGAGAACCAAAACTAGGAGTAGCTCCAAAAGCAGGTGCTGAGCCGAAAGTGGGAGGAGACCCAAAGCCACCTAAAATATGAAAGTAGGAAAAATGTACCAAGTATATGTAAGTTAAAATAGCTTATAATTCTACATACAAAAAATTGCTAAAAAAAGTTATTTCTGCAAGTTTTAAAAGCATGTACCTGCTGGTTTATTCATAGAAAGAGGAGATCCAAATCCTCCTTGAGCTACACTCGCTCCTGCAGAATTTCCACTAAATACACCGCTCCCAAAAGAAGATGAACCTGTATTTCCAAACCTATAAACCCAAACAATCCATTATTATTTACAGTTTTATAACAAAAAGTCTTGTAAAAGTTCATTCAATTATGTATGTAACTATTAATTACATTCATACAACATTTCCCATTATAAAAAATAGGTCAAAATATTTACAAAAAGGTTTTATTTGAATTTGTAAGTTTTTGTAGGAAAACAAAATAAGAAATATTTCATCAACTTACCCAGTTGATGGTGATCCAAAACTTCCAAATGTAGATTGTGTTGTGGGAGTACTGAAAGGAGAAGTATTTTGCGAATTGCCTCCAAATATTGAACCTAGATATAAAAGAATCAATAATACAATCTGATTTAGGTCTGTTATAAATAAATGCTCTTTTACCTCCAGAAGCAGCACCGAATGTAGATTGTTGTCCAAAAATAGCAGTTGCTGGTTTTAAAGGATTTGACCCTCCAAAAATATTGCTAGTTGGTTTACTAGAGCCACCAAATATGGAACTACTTTGTTGTGCAGAACTACCAAATGAACTTTGAGAACCAAACATTGGTGTTGAAGCAACAGTTGTAGATGTTGCACCTCCAAATATTGAATTTGAAGCAGTAGTTGTAGATGTTACACCGCCAAATATTGAGTTTGAAGCAGTAGTTGTAGATGTTACACCACCAAATATTGAATTTGGAGTAGCAGTTGTTGATGATGCATTGCCAAATATGGAATTTGCTGCACCAGAAGGGCTGCTTCCAAAAACTGATGTGCCACCTCCAAAAATAGAATTAGTGTTAGTTGTTGTAGGCTGACTACTGCCAAACATTGATTTGCTCGCAGTTGTAGTGACACTGAGGCCACTACCAAACATTGAAGTTAATGAAGAAGTTGTCGTGTTTGTTAAACTCATAGCACCAAACCCAGTAGTGCTGGTATTAACAGGACTACCAAAGACTGAACTTGTAGTTGAAACAGAAGTTCCAAATGCTGAAGTAGCACCAAATACTGAACTTGCATTCACAGTGGGAGATCCAAACACTGAAGTTGTAGTTGTAGCAGGAGTTCCGAACGCTAAAGTTGCAGTTGTAGCAGGGGTTCCAAATGTTAAACTTACAGTCGTAGAAGGAGTTCCAAATGTCAAAGTTGCAGTTGTAGCAGGAACTCCAAATGCTGAAGTTGCAGTTGTAGCAGGAACTCCAAATGCTGAAGTTGCAGTCGTAGCCGGAGATCCAAATGCCGAAGTTGCAGTTGTAGCAGGAGCACCAAATGCTGAACTTGCTGAAGTAGCAGGAGCACCAAATGCTGAACTTGCTGTTGTAGCAGGTGCTACAAATGCTGAACTTGCTGTTGTAGCAGGTGCTACAAATGCTGAACTTGCTGTTGTAGCAGGAGCTCCAAATGCTGAACTTGCTGTTGTAGCAGGAGCTCCAAATGCTGAACTTGCTGTTGTAGCAGGAGCTACAAGTGATGAACTTGCTGTTGTAACTGGTGTGTCAAAAGTCAAGCTTGCTGTCGTAATAGGAACTTTAAATGCAGAACTTGCTGCCGTAACAGGAGTTCCAAATAGTGTACTCGTAGATGTAGCAGATGTTGTCCCAAGAATAGGCCCTACAGCGGTTGTATCACTACTCAAGCCAGATTTGGTAGTTAATGATGATCCAAAATTGGAATTTGTATTAGCAGAACTTAAAGTTGCACCAAGTACAGTTGCAGTTGTAGAAGTATTTCCACCGAATAAAGAGGTGGTTGATGTGGTATTTACTTTCAGAGAAGCATTTCCACCAAATATGGAAGTAGATGATGGTTTACTAAAAACAGAATTAGCTGTCGCCATAGAAGAATTTTCCTTTTCAATTGATGAGGAGGTAGTTGTAATTGAAGAATATTCTGAACTTTCAGGTCTTGATACATTTGTTGAAGCCGGCAAATTATTTATTTTGCCATCAGAAACCATATTCTTAAATATATTAATCGATGAATTTGAGTTAGCGACACTAAAAGTAGCAGCAGTAGATTTGCCAAAATCAGTACTTGCAGTAGTGGTTGTAATGCCACCTGTTATTGATCTAGAAGTATTGGTATTTTCTTCCTTGGTATTTAAATTACCAAATATTGAAGTTGATGTTGACAACCCTTGAGGGATAGTTGACTTACTTCCTCCGAATATTGATGTAGTTTTGGGCATACTATCAGTCACTTTTGCAGTAATGTTTACAGATTGAGAACCTGCTACAAAATTTTTGATTATTAATTTCAGAATGAGGAATATTGAGATAAACTTGAGCAAACTATAAACACCTCAACTGTGCTCCAAATGCTAAACTGATACCAGAAAATATATATATATATATATATATATATATATATATATATGAGTGAGTTCTTGAGGGCGATACATCAAACAAAGAAAAGCCAAAGATTTATAAAATAATCTTTATTTCCAAACGTTTCGACATTCAATTTAATGTCATCATCAGTGGATCTAAAAACAGTATGAAAATTAGCATATCTAGGTAATTATAATATATGTGGATTGGTTATAATTACCTAGATATGCTAATTTTCATACTGTTTTTAGATCCACTGATGATGACATTAAATTGAATGTCGAAACGTTTGGAAATAAAGATTATTTTATAAATCTTTGGCTTTTCTTTGTTTGATGTATCGCCCTCAAGAACTCACTCATATATTTCAACATCAAAATTAACTACTAAATCATATATATATATATATATATATATATATATAAATATAATTGAATGCAATCTACAAACTTCAATACCTTTATTACTAATCATGAAAGACGATGGTGAGCAAATTTTAAGGTCCTTTGTGAAATCATCCATTGTATTAGATCTTGTTGCTTCAAGAGTAGTGCTGCAGAAATGCATAAATACAGATATTAAGTATACTTATCATGTACAAAATACGAATTTTGTTCATTACCTTGTTATAGAATTTGTTTCCAATTCAACTGGTTTTCCATGTTTGTCACCTGAAAGTAAACAAAACTAAGTATGCAGGATTTTTCAATTCATTTAGTTTATTAGCAAAATGTAAAGCGACTTTGATCAGAGCGCCTACTGTAATAAGGGCCAATCATTTTTGTTGAACAAAACAAAAAATCACTATTTTCAATTTTACCATCTCCTGTAGATGTAAAACTAAATGATCTGCTCGCATCTTCCTCGCGCTTCTTAGAAACAACCATTGGGTTTTGGGCAGCAAATTGAAATGTAGTTGCATTATTTGACATATCACTCACTGGAGTCTTACTTATTGCATTAAAGGCTGATGCAGGTGCTCCTCCTGTCATACTAGGCTTCACGAATGATAAATTTGATGATGTTGGAGGTTTCTCGTTATTCCCAAAACTTATAACATAGGTATTATCACTTATTTTTTCAGATACTGGCAAAACTGCTGGAATATTTATTCGTTCAATATGTTGCTTAGATTGAGAGTTAGCTTTGTTTGTTTGTTTTTCCATGTAATCATTTAGTTGGGATTGAAAATCATTTGTTTTATTCAATGGCAAAGCTGGCTTCAATTTCTTATCTAAAATAAAATTAGAATTGTTCACTTTAATATGTATATATATATATATATATATATATATGCATATATAGTTAGATAGTATAGATATATATACATATGCATATATAGTTACCTTTAATATTTCGGAGTTTTTCTTTAACGACAGATGATTTGGAATGGTCGTAGTCTATTTGAACAGGCAATACTTTTTGTGTCTTGAGATTTGATAAAATATTTGATACAACATCTTTCCTCTTTGTAAATTTGTATTTTCTTGTCAACATTCTGTCCAAATGAATTTGTTGAAAATCCTGTGAATTCATATTCATAACATCAAGCATTCTGGATAGATCTGATATTTCTTCAGTTGTATTGGTTCTAAAATATGAAATTGGGAGTAATATAATTAATATAATTAAATAATTAATTTATTATGAAACTCTATATTTACCCTTGACTTGCAGGTTTTATTCGAATTTTAATCAATGCTTCATGTACAAATCGTTTTTGTTTTGCAAGGATATCGCCTTGTTTCAAAAGTGTCTGATACAAAACCTCCATACTTGGTATATGCATCTTTCCTCTAAAATAAATTATTGCGCTCAAAAATAATGAAAATAGATAGAATTCATGGATATATAATGAGATATTGGATGCTTACTTTGCTTTGCTTTTGCATTTATCCTGAAAATCGGACCATTGTTCATTAATTTGCTTATTTAATTGCAGAATTTGAGATTCTACATAATACAACAATTTTGTTATAGCTCCCAACTGACTTTTAGAAAGTGAATCCAGATCAGATGAAATTAGCATTTTTTCTATGGAATATGTGCTATAAAATAGACCATTAGTGAGTATTATCTAACATTTGTGATTTTGAATTGGATTATTCATAAATAATATTACTCACTCTTCATGTCCATAAACCTTGCATTTTGCTTCACTGGTCCAAGAATATGCAGCCATTAGGGCTTGACGAAGGCTTTGTAATTCTGCACGGAGATTCTGGGTACTTTCATTTGCTTCATTTATGAAGTTTTTCATATCATTAATCCCAGAATATAAAAACTTTGATTCAATTTCCGTCCCGCACTATAATATAAAATCAATCAATTTAAAAAATTTAATTACTATAAGTTGTCAATATAAGATAGTTAATGTATTTATAAATTATTTAATATACCTCCATGTCTATATTTCTAGAGCATAGTAAAAGGTTTTGTAACTCTTCAACAAAATAGCTGGCTTCTCCTTGAAGCAGATCAAGAAGTGCTTCATCATTTTCCTCACTGTCTTCATCCACATTTGAATTCTCCAATTCATCTGATTTCTTTTCCAGGCTGGAAACAGCATCTTGAGCTATAATAAACAAATATGTTGTGAGTAAATTACGCTTATTACAATTAAGTATCAATCAATTCTCCACATACTACTTCCTGCTGTTTGATTTATGGGTTGTAATGTTGTACATTTTTCAATTTTTAATTGATTTTGAGTTGTTGCAGTAAAATTAAAAGCATGATCATCTGTTTTTGAGCACAAAGTTTGTGTTGTTAAGCTCTGTTTTGATTCTATTGGAGGTTTCGAACCTATTGTTTTATCCATTACTAAATTTGCCTTTACAGATAATGAAGGTGCTAATTTTTCCTTATGCTCCTGATTCAAAGTATTAATAGACTTAGCCTAAAAAAATATAAATTTATTTAAAAATATAAATAATGTAGCAATCTGTATACTATCATGAATAGTTATCTTACTGGTGTGGATGTAATTGCAGGATTATTAATCATAAACGAAAAATCTTCACTGGAATGCACAGTCATATTTGGTTTTAGCTCTTGGTTGGGAACTGAGCTTGTAAACAAATTCTCATTTTTGGAAGGAGAAGTAACTGCAGTAGCTTGTGTTGCTGTTTGAGTGTTTGCGTTTGGTGTTTCTGTAGAGCTTTATGAAATAAAAGAAGAAAAATCAATGTAAATATTATGACAAATTGCTACTAATTTTACCTTTCAATGATGAATGAAGATAGACCACTGCCATCTTTTATAGGTTCAGGAGGAGAGCATATACAGGGTGCATCATTTTTTAAATTCAAGGCGTCAAAACTGATTAGGAAACCATGATCCGTAAGTAAATGTAACATTGGCATTGGTTGTAAAGTTTTATTATCACCTAAAAATGGGCTGTAATTATTATATACTTAAGAGATTTTCTAAGATAGTATCTAATCACCGATAGTAATTTGTTTAGTGCTTCCAGTATCAAGAGCATAACCGCACATGAAGGATTCATATCTTCCAACTAATGGAAGTTCTGCTCTAGCATCATCCGCCTAATAATGGAAAATATTTAAATATTGAATAATCAACAAAATATTTGAATATATGATTATCATTTTTACCAAAAACCATTGTTCCCAATTACAAACATCTTGCGCAATAATACCCGCTAATAAACCAACTTCTATACTATTCACAGAAAGTACAAATAAAAGTGACCTGAAAATTTTATAATTTATCAATGATGTGTTTATATTCTTAATTATTGTGGAATCTTACCATGATTGCTGATGTATAAAATAAATTGATTTTGGAGAGCAATTTCTTGAGCTATAACAAACTTCATCATAATTTATACTATAAATCTGTCCCGATTTTGGAGCATTTATTATAACTACATCTGTAAACAAAGTACACAAATTTAAAAAATGATGTAATATTTCCATGGGTCAAGTTATGACATGAATGTAACGTGAGCAACAATTTTATGTGAGTATATATTCTACTCACTAGGTGGATTTTTAGGATCTGAAGAATCAAGAAATGTAGCTGCAAACTGATAATTGCTCAGCCATTGAACAGAAATTATGGAGCCTTTCATATCGGATACACTGATAGTTTTTACAGGCTTCAAATCTGGTTTGAATTGGCATAATGTGCCAGATTTTGTCCCAATGACAATTTGTTTTCCCTTCGGGCTCCATGATAATGATCTTGAATTAATAAGTAAAAATTAATATTAACTATAATTTCATATATGTATGAATGAAGTATTCTTCTTACAAAGCTTGCACATCATTTTCTGTTGAATTTATTTTCAGGCCATTACCAAATTCACAGGACCACAATGTGCCATTTTCTAAAGTAGCAGCTACTACATTTGCTATACAGGGATTCCATGACATTTGTAACAAAGGGCTGGGTAGCCTTACTTCGCTAACTAATACTATTGTCTGTAAAGTTTTAGATTAATATTGCATTACAGCTTCCATTCATTGTAGGAAGTTAATGTGCAGGAAGACATCAATACCTGTTTATAATATGAAGTAACATCATAAAATTGTAATATAAAGTTTCCATTAGAAGTTAACACTATGGACAAAACTGTATGATCACAATTCACAGCAAGATAAGTTACATGCCCAGGGAGTTCTTGTTTTCGAACAGCAACATTTTTATCTTTAGGTGAGTTTTGTACCAAAGATGATAGCTGTACAACTGCGTTAAATAATAAATCAATATTTTAATAACAAAAATTATAAGTTTAGTGCTTAATTTTAAATTGTTTTGTACCTTTAACAATATTTTGACAAGCAGTGAAAATTAATCCAAACCGACTCGCAGCACATAAAAGGGAAGTGTTATTACACGGCGTTTCACATTTTTCAAAAATTTTAACTTTACTGTGTAATATAAATTTGAAATCCTGTAAAATTAATGAATTTAATATATAAACAATGAATTATTTCAAACAAATGATAATTATCAATACCTGAACTTCTTTAGGGTTTGGCGCATTTACAGACATTTTTTCAACTAATTCTATTTAATATTGTGCCAATAATAAAATATAATTATTACCCTTAATAAGTAGCATTTATACCATTTCAAAAAGATTTAAAAAATCGCACTTGACGGTAATTTGTAAATTTAAACATAACCTAGGATTAAGCACAGAGTGTCTGCTTTCTTAAAAACTAGAGACTAGACTCGGAGTCTTGCCTTGTTCACAGCCAATTCAATATTTTGGCTATTTTATAATTTTAATTTTTATTTAAATTAATCTTCTATCCATATTCTATCTATTCTTATGTCTTATCGTTCATTCAAAAAGATTTTATCACTAGCTATCGAATTTTTAATATTAAATGAATGAACTAATACTATTCAAGGTATCCAATCTCAACATAAAAATTATATACTCTATGCTTTATGTAAAGCACATTATTATATTGTCTAGGAAGCACAATAACAAGCGTGAAACGTCAATCAAACGTTAATAAAGAATTATTATAATTATAATTAATATCTGTCTCTAGTTTAATGCTTTATTTTATAAATTATGGAAGAAATAAAAGTGACAAATATATGCAGGGCATGTATGTGTACAGATGGAGCAATGAAACCGATGTTTATATCTGAAAATCTAACACCAGCCTTAGCTAATATGCTTATGTCTTGTACAAATATCCCAATTTCTGAATTAGATGGGTTGCCTGGACAAATTTGCGAAGGATGTGAAGGTTTCATTACACTCTGCTTTTTTGTTTAATCAACAATGTGAAAGATCTGATGTAGAATTGAGGTAAACACAAAATGACTTTTGTTTATATATTGTAGCATTTGAATTGTATAATTATATTTATAATTTTTTCATAATTGGGTAATTAATATTACCAATTACCATTGTTGTTTCTATCGATATAAATAGTCATGCTTATCAAAATTTATATATATTTCTAAAACTGAGATGTCTCAATTTAAATAATTGAATATTCTATAGCTCTTGATTTATGTGTGTTATTCTTTATCAGAAAAGTGTTTGGAAATACGGAGAATGTTGTAGAAGATAAACAAATCAAGGATGAGCCTATCACAGAACCTATTGATTTCGATTTACTAAAACCTAAAATCGAAATTGAAATGGATGCTGAAGAATTCTTAGAAGGTGTGGAAGCCACCGATGATTTGGAAGAAACAGAACTGGAAATTCCCCATAGGCGCAGGGGCAGAAAAAAATTAACCAATGATTTTCCTTGCGATAACTGTGGAAAAATCTTTGATAAGCTTTATCGTTTGCAAAGGCATTTAAATGTTCATAATTCAGAAGGAAAACCTTTTGAGTGCACAATATGTTATCAACGTTTTGTTAGAGAAGATTTATTGATAAGACATAGAATAAAACATTCAGAATTAATGTCTAAAAATTTCAATTCTGAAGATATAAAAGAAATATATAAGTGCTCAGAGTGTGATAGAGTATTCAGGAAGCAGGTAAATGATTTATATAGTAATAATAATTATGCAAATTGGTAATTAAAGAATTTTATGGAATAATAGATGTTAATTTTACTTATTAGTAACATTTTGGCATTTTGTTTTTTAGGAGTCTCTTTCAGCACACATGCAAAAGCACAAAAATGAAGAACCTCAGAGTTATGAATGTACCGAGTGCGAAAGAACTTTTACTAAAGCAAGCCATTTATCACGGCATATGAAAATACATGGCAATGTTAAGCCTCATAAATGTCAGTTGTGCCCAAAATCATTTGCTCTTGGTGGTCAACTAATAGATCATATGAATAAACATAATGGTATTAAGCCACATGTTTGCCCAGAGTGTGGAAAAGGTTGAAAAAGCAAATACTTATTATAAAACTTTTTTATGGCATTATTGAAAATTTTTTGTTTGTTACAGGTTTTCAGCAATCTTGTACTTTAAAAGATCATTTACGAACGCACAGTGGGGAGGCGCCATTCCTATGCTCTGAATGCGGTAAAGCTTTTAATAACAGCAGTAACTTACGACAACATTTAGTTCGACATTCAGGTTTAAAGCCTTTTGCATGTTCACAGTGTCCATCACGATTTGCAAGCAAAGGTAATGTCATAAAATATGAAATTTGTGTTATATGAAATATAATTCTTCAATTTATGTAATTAGGGGGCTTAACATCACACGAAGTTACACATACAGGTGCTAAACCTTATATTGTGATACATGCGGCTCAGGTTTTACAAAACCCTATAGTCTTGTTAAGCATAAACGTATTCATACAGGAGAGAAACCTTATGCATGTGAAGTATGTTCGATGAGGTAAGTCTACATTGATATATGAAATTCAAACATGATGCTCTTTTTAATAATCATTTAAAATTATTTAAATGAAAAGTATAGAAAATATATTCAAATAAAATTCATTTAATTGTCTATATTTCTAAAGTATAGTAAAAGGTCTTGTAACTCTTCAACACAATGGAAGGCTTCTAATTGAAGCAGATTAAGAATTCTTCATCAATTTCCTCACTGTCTTCATCCACATTTGAATTCTCCAATTCATCTGATTTCTTTTCCAGGCTGGAAACAGCATCTTGAGCTATAATAAACAAATATGTTGTGAGTAAATTACGCTTATTACAATTAAGTATCAATCAATTCTCCACATACTACTTCCTGCTGTTTGATTTATGGGTTGTAATGTTGTACATTTTTCAATTTTTAATTGATTTTGAGATGTTGCAGTAAAATTAAAAGCATGATCATCTGTTTTTGAGCACAAAGTTTGTGTTGTTAAGCTCTGTTTTGATTCTATTGGAGGTTTCGAACCTATTGTTTTATCCATTACTAAATTTGCCTTTACAGATAATGAAAGTGCTAATTTTTCCTTATGCTCCTGATTCAAAGTATTAATAGACTTAGCCTAAAAAATATAAATTTATTTAAAAATATAAATAATGTAGCAATCTGTATACTATCATGAATAGTTATCTTACTGGTGTGGATGTAATTGCAGGATTATTAATCATAAACGAAAAATCTTCACTGGAATGCACAGTCATATTTGGTTTTAGCTCTTGGTTGGGAACTGAGCTTGTAAACAAATTCTCATTTTTGGAAGGAGAAGTAACTGCAGTAGCTTGTGTTGCTGTTTGAGTGTTTGCGTTTGGTGTTTCTGTAGAGCTTTATGAAATAAAAGAAGAAAAATCAATGTAAATATTATGACAAATTGCTACTAATTTTACCTTTCAATGATGAATGAAGATAGACCACTGCCATCTTTTATAGGTTCAGGAGGAGAGCATATACAGGGTGCATCATTTTTTAAATTCAAGGCGTCAAAACTGATTAGGAAACCATGATCCGTAAGTAAATGTAACATTGGCATTGGTTGTAAAGTTTTATTATTACCTAAAAATGGGCTGTAATTATTATATACTTAAGAGATTTTCTGAGATAGTATCTAATCACCGATAGTAATTTGTTTAGTGCTTCCAGTATCAAGAGCATAACCGCACATGAAGGATTCATATCTTCCAACTAATGGAAGTTCTGCTCTAGCATCATCCGCCTAATAATGTAAAATATTTAAATATTGAATAATCAACAAAATATTTAAATATATGATTATCATTTTTACCAAAAACCATTGTTCCCAATTACAAACATCTTGCGCAATAATACCCGCTAATAAACCAACTTCAATACTATTCACAGAAAGTACAAACAAAAGTGACCTGAAAATTTCATGATTTATCAATGATGTGTTTATATTGAAATGCATAATTATTGTGGAACCTTACCATGATTGCTGATGTATAAAATAAATTGATTTTGGAGTGCAATTTCTTGAGCTATAACAAACTTCATCATAATTTATACTATAAATCTGTCCAGATTTTGAAGCATTTATTATAACTACATCTGTAAACAAAGTGCACAAATTTAAAAAATGATGTAATATTTCCACGGGTCAAGTTACGACATGAATGTAACGTGAGCAACAATTTTATGTGAGTATATATTCTACTCACTAGGTGGATTTTTAGGATCTGAAGAATCAAGAAATGTAGCTGCAAACTGATCATTGCTCAGCCATTGAACAGAAATTATGGAGCCTTTCATATCGGATACACTGATAGTTTTTACAGGCTTCAAATCTGGTTTGAATTGGCATAATGTGCCATTTTGTCCCAATGACAATTTGTTTTCCCTTCGGGCTCCATGATAATGATCTTGAATTAATAAGTAAAAATTAATATTAACTATAATTTCATATATGTATGAATGAAGTATTCTTCTTACAAAGCTTGCACATCATTTTCTGTTGAATTTATTTTCGGGCCATTACCAAATTCACAGGACCACAATGTGCCATTTTCTAAAGTAGCAGCTACTACATTTGCTATACAGGGATTCCATGACATTTGTAACAAAGGGCTGGGTAGCCTTACTTCGCTAACTAACACTATCGTCTGTAAAATTTTAGATTAATATTGCATTACAGCTTCCATTCACTGTA